GAGAGAGAGAGAGAGAGAGAGAGAGAGAGAGAGAGAGAGAGAGAGAGAGTTTAGTCCTTCTCTTGTACAGTAATGTTAAAAGATTTAAAGTAAAGATCTGAAGCAGCTCTATTAATCCGACCTTATTAAACTCAATCTAACTCTTCTATTCAGGTCCACACACAACTTTCTTATCACAAACATATAGACACACAATGCTTTTTATTCCCTCTCTCCAAATACACGTTTTTTGTCTCACTGGATGCATTTTTGTAGTAGTTCCTTTAATCCGACTTTATGTAACTCACCCAAGTGCCTTTCCCCCACAGTTGTTTACATCTTCCCTTACTCACCATACGCATACAACACACTCTTTCTTTCCCCGCCTTTCAATAATTATTCATAATAATTATTCATAATAATTCACAGAATGTGTTTTGCGGTGGTTTCAATCGAATTTCTATGCATCATGTTGCTCAATTCTTAAAGTGTTCCCGAAACATTACTAACTTTTTAATAGTTATATGGTATTCAGAAAAGGTTGAAATCTACAAAAACACTATTTCTTTCACTTACAATTTACTTCTTGAACAGAAATCGACTTTTTACTCACCTTATTTTATGCAACTATGAACTTTGCTCTATTTATCCGATCTTGTTTAGAATGTGTCAAGAAATAGAATAAACTGTACGAATTTTGTACATAGAATTAATGTATATATTTTAATAAACTATTTTGTAGTTATTGGTACTAAAGCTGAATAGTTGCGGGAACTACACAGTTATTATATAGTCCTTGTAATCATTCTGTTATAATAACTGCAAAATAATTTATTAAACTATATACATTAATTTTACATATAAAACTCGTATAGTTACTATCATCATGGCCCTTTCTCTGACTGTGCCTTAAATTTAATAATATAGAAGGAAAATAAAATAATACTGAATAATTGTTTTTATTAAATTATTATTCGAAGTGTGTGTCAAAAAACTAATATTGTCAATCCAGGAATAAAAAGATATGATATCTACTACGATGTTTTTCTATTGATAAAATAGAATTGAAATCGATGAATTTCGAAATGCTTTTTAAAAAGAAAGAAAAGGAAGAATTCAACAGAAATTCTTCGATTATAATTGAAAAATTCAATTGAAATTCTTCTATTGAATCAAAATTGAAATTTGATCAAAATTTGCGTGAGCAATTAAAGTCACAGAAACATGCAATTTTCGACATGACGCTTTTTCACGTTCTCGAAATTTCGAGAATTCCAGAAAGCTAAAAAGCGGTCGATTTCAGTCGTTCCATTAGATGTTTCTTCTCTGTATTCCAAAATTCAACTTTGATTACCATTTTCTATAGTATACATAACATGAACTACAGAACTATGATAATCAAAGTTGAATTTTGGAACGCATCCCAGTTTAAGATTAGAAGTTCGACAGAGGAAAATCTGAAAAATTCCATTGAAATCGGATTTTAGTCGGAATCGAGGAACACACACGAAGATTTCAGTTGTCATCGCGCAAACAACTGTGGCAATTATTCGTCCTACTCACCGCGAGAAATATCATCCATAATTTCTATGTCATAGGGCGTTCTAAATATAAAACCACGATAACGAGTCCTACGCTTCTCCGCTGATTAATCGTTCTCGCGAAATGCACACATATATAGAACGGATTACCGTTTAAGCAATCGGAGACAAAGCGACGGATAGGAATACGCGAGACATCGTGTTGTTGTATCGTCATTTTCGGACAACGTCAGCAGCTGGATAACGCTGTTATCACGCTCGATCGTATTTCTGACTCTTCGTCGGCGAAACACGGGATGCTTATTGCAGCGGCCAGCTGTTTCGGTCGGCACGACGCGCCAAGTCGTCTCGTTATCTTCTGTCCAGGCAGCAGCGGGACTATACCTGACTACTTCTCGGAGAAAGAGAAAGGTTTCGGATGAATCAGACAATCGCCGCTTGGAAAAGGATCTTTAACCCTACCGGCACAAAGGAACAACGGGATGCAGCGGACGAAACCGGTTGCTTTTTGGCCCGGTGAGAATTTCCGAAGCTTCGAGAGAATGAAAAAGCATTGCTGCCGTGACGAAAAGTGC